GCACGTTTGTGCGACTCGTCCACAAACAGTTCCGTCCACTTTATCAAAACCCGGAATCGGCCACTGTGTGGTTTTCACCTGTTTTGTATGCAGCTGTGGGTTTTTTTTTTTCCTGTCTGTTGATTTGTTGCCCGGCAACAAGTAACTGTGTGCACATCTCTGAGCCGCAAAAGGAGAGGAAAGGCAGTTATTACAGGAGAGGGGGGGGGTCATGCTGATACACACGCGTAACTGTGTGCACACACTCGTCTACGTAATGTGTGTTTGATCTGCGTCACGTTCGGTTGTTGTTTCCTGCCGTTCACACCCTGAACGCACCGTGTGTGTCCTTGTGTTTGCGGTGCGTGTTTGTTCCCGCGCAGAAATTTGCGAAACGATCAAATTTGCCTGTTGGTGTTTGCTCACTCACTGATACTGTACGGTGTGTGTGTGTGTGTGTCTGTGTGTGTGTGTGTGTGTGTGTGTGTGTGGGCTGTGCATTTGTGGATTCGGGATGTTTGTGCACCTGCTTTTCTGTTTGTGTTACTCTGATATGTGAGAGGACAAAGGTGGCTTTCAATCCCCGACTCTGGCCACAGTTTTGGGGTGAAAATATCCGTTTTGTGCATTCTGTTAACCCTCAGTTCTTTTTTAAATTTTCCTCCAGTAAAGTGAACTTCCTTGTAATCTGTTTAAGTTGTCCTTAGTAATCAGATTTCTGATGGTTTGCTTTGGATAATTGATGCCTTTTCTCCAATTCTAAGTCCAGTTATTGTAGCTGATTGTGGATTTTCTTTGTTAAGCCACCGAACTCTGAGCTTTAAATCATTCAGAAAGAAAAAAAGGCCCCTAACCAGTCGTCAAGGGATGAGCCAGCGTTGTGTCCAACCGGCAGAGCAGCAGTTTTAAAGTGGATCTTTAGGCTCTTTGTTAACAGCCTGTCACAAAGACACATCATTTGTTCCCATTTTTTTTAGCTGATGGGTGAAGAAGGCTAAAGAAAACACAGTTTGACAGACAGGAAACAGGATTTCTGAGGATTCCCCCAAAGAGCTGCTGGCTGAAAACTGGGCAGTTCTCAGCAACATTTGAGGAAACTGGAAAGTGGAGGACAATAGGAGAAGAATTAGACCTAAAAAACTCTTTAATCCAGCAGATGAAGAGGATCTGAGAGTGAGGTGCTTATGAACAGATCCAGAAAAAGAGTTGAACAGGATTGGAGAGCTGCATCTGGACCTCCAGATGACCGTCTCCTGGTGGCCTTAATCAGAAATGCTCTCCATGAAGGGGGGCTGTCCAGAAGCCACTCTGAAGAAAAGAAACAGGGAGGAAAGGCTGAGCTTTGGGTTCAGAGCTCATAGCAGATTTATTTCCCTTAAAATATGAATACCAACGAGCTTATCGTCTAATTCCGTCAGAAATCGATTGCAGAAAAAAAGAAAAAAAGAGTTCTTTCGGCTTTTTCTACATGAAAATCCAAAAAGTCCAGGTGTCTGTGAGAGTGTGTGTGTCATTAGGAGAATATTTTTAGTCTTCCCAGAGCTGGAGCTGGAGCCAGCCGGATGAGAGCACACACACTGTGGCCCGACTCTCATTTAAACTCTGTTCCCCAGACAGTGAGTGTCCAATCAGAGCTCAGCAACTCTGAATCGCCATGACAGCTCTGTCAAGTTTCAGATTCCTCCAAATGCGAAAGTGGTGTGCTGCAAGCTTGTGATACCGCTCCTCCACAACCCGAGTGGATGGGTTAAACAGCGTGTGGGGAGAAGCTTCCTGCTAGCATGCAACGCTACATCCAATCAAATCTATCATCATTAAAGGGAAATAAGCAGTTCCTCATTAAGGAGAGTACGTGTTTTACTCAAAGGCTTTCCAGCTTCACAAAAAAATGTGCAATCTTCTGTTGCCTTGTCCGTAATGTAGCATTTCTGCCATGTGAGATGTTAACATTGGCATTAACAATGTTGTTTTCCTTCCCCTAGTAATGACCATCAACAACATTCCTTTAAATTATTCATTTAACTAGAACAAGAAAATTGCTGGACATTAACTCAAAATACGAAACAAACTGATTCATTTACCTCCTGAGTCCCAAAACAGGTTACTATGTATATTATATTATTTGGGTTTTTTTGTATATTATATTCTTAACATCTGTGGCTATCATTAGCCATTTACAGGTTTGCACACAGTGAAAGTGGTTTGTAGCTAATGCTAATCGCTTTTAGCATTGGCTAAATGCTATGTAGTCTAAAGATATGATATACAGTAGGTGTAAAATATAGATAAATGTAGCTTCGTTATTTTAATTAAACTGCAAAATTTCCATAATGGGCCATATGCTTAAAAAAATAAATGTATATATATGTATATGCATAAAAAGCATTAGCAATTAGCATTGACTTGCAAAATCATTGATCCTAAAGTTTCATTTGTTAAAATTACTGCACAATTATATCTATTGTCAAAATGAGAATGTGCACTGTAGGCTAATTTGAGTTTTTAATATTCTGCAATGTGATCATGTTGTACTTTTTAATACTTTTAGAAGCAATTCTGGCTCTTTTGTAGATTGCAGATATCACAAGAGGAGAAGCTGCTCCAAAAGCCAGCAGAAATCTAAAGCATCCAGTCCTAAATTATAGACGTGCACATAGTGTAATTCTTATCCGCATCTTAAATGGATCAAAATCTTTAGAAAACGCTGTAAAAATTACAGAATGAAGCTGCACTGTTCAGTGTCATTGTAACTAAATCCTGTCACCAAAGGCCTGATTGACAAATTTGCGTTCCATTCAAGATAAAAAAAAAAGGGAGTGGATTATATAATCAGGGAAGTATAGATACGTCTCTGTGCAAATGAGTGATTTGAGCATTTGGCCCTACAGCCCGAGGCGAATCTAAGAGTGCAGCCTGTGACTCACAGCCAGCCTGTCCTCCACGACGGTTAATGAGCCGTCACGTCTTTCACTCTCCTGCCTTTTTCCAACCGCGTCCTCATCCTCCTCTTTATCAGAAAAGCCATCCAGCTACTGCGTCTCTCCCCTCCCGTCCTTCACTGGACGGGTTTGAAATGTGGAGAAACGGAGCTGAGAACCGCAAAGAGGAGGAGGTTTTTGTTGGGTATTAGCCGCTGACGCTCTGTTTTTTTTTGTTTTTTTACCATGTGCTGTAAGGGATGAGGGGGGTAAAAAAAGAAAAAAGAAAGACAAGATATGACATCCCTCCTCTTGCCTCCCCCCCGCAGTGGGAGGACTCTAAAGGAGGGATTTGGAACAAAGCAGGCGAGATGTGTCAGAGGACTTGAGTTAGGCCCCGAAAGCCACTCTGATGGAAAACACAGTGGTAATGTAATACCAACAGGTTTATGGATAAACCCTCTGATGCACTTAGACCTATCAAAAGATGTACTCAGTGGGCTTGTGGAGCCTTCATACATCACACAGATGCACTTAGGGGCGATTATTTTCCAGAGGTCCATCTGTCTTGGAGCGTGTTTGCTCCCGGCTTATTTAGTGTTTGTTTAAAGTCACCGGGCCTGTCTCTTAGAGGCAAACGCTGACTTATTCATATTTTCATGTTATGTGTATTTTTTATGGCGGGGATGTGCTTCGGACAAAACAACACGACAGAAACTAGAGCAGCTCCTCCTTTCAGTGTTGTTAGGAGTCATAATATGATTTAGGCGGTGGGTCCATCCATCAGCTTCAGCCTGTTTATGAGAGCATGCAGAGACGGGTCGAATCTCCACTTCTGCTCAGCTTTTTCTGCGCCTACGAGACGAATGATGAATTATTTTGCACCTGGGTTGTGTTCTCTCGTTCGAGCCTATAGGGGGATACATTTCTGATCATCTCTGACCGGCGAGACACAAGCAGAGGCCAGGATCATGGAGGCGTCTTATGCAAACACATTTAATAGTCCACTGGTGTCTTTTTTAACCAACTGAGACCTCCGACCAAAAGAAGTGTGAAAAAAAAACTACAAATGTGAAGCCACAGAGATGAGAAACATCCTGTGAGCTTTGAATCCTGTTTCCTGAGTCAGATCCATCAGATGAAAAAGAGGAGGCACTCATTTTCATTTCAAAAGAAAACATCCGGTTACATCACAATACCAGAGAGTAAATTAAGGAATCATGTCAAAAGATACAGACATGTCGTGATTAAAACCAATTCAAACTTGGACTTTAAGGCTTTGGGCCTTTTGTGAGGTGCAGCATTGTTTAAAATTTTATCTAAAGACCATAAAATTCCACATTGACCTGTCAGAGAAGCCATGCGTGGAAAAAAACGATGCGCCGCTGCATCTATTTTCCCAGCATTTATCATTTTGAAAGCGAACAGACTCCGAACTCTGAGTTCAAGTCTCTCGTTCTCCTACAGTAATGCAGCGATACATCTTCAGCCCAGCAGACCAAAAGGGGGTGTCGAATGCAGTGAGTTTCAGGTGCACCGCTGGAAGCAAATCTGTTTAATACCTTAAAGTTTCCCCCCCTCCCCTCCTCGTACATTCCTTCCTCCGTGTACGTTTCCCCTCGGTATCCTGTGAGTAATGTATGTTTGCTCTAATTGGAGGCTGGACACAGAAGTCAGGCAGCGTCGGCCTCTGGCTAGCTTTAATGATTTTTTTTGTTGTTGTCTTAACTTTAACTCCTTAACTCGCAGCATATTCCTCCCCGTTGGCCCCCAGCGCTCATCAGACTCTGGCAGGGAACGTAATTGGCCATCAAAACAATCCAGACTCCTTCCTTCATTCCCGGCTAGCTTGACCTTAAGTCACGGAGCGGGACTCTGATTCAGCCTGTTGACTCATTAAACATCGCATTCGGCCTTCCAGTGCATTTTTTAAAATCCTGTCTTTTCGTAAGAATTCAAGTAATGATTTCAGAAAGATGGGCTTACAGGGGGTGTGGTGGTTAGCACCATCGCTATACAGCGAGAAGGTTCCGGGTTCAATATTCTTTCTCACTCTCAACCCTTTCCTCCATTTCACCCCAAATGAGGCTGAAAAATTAACTCCCATGACCACCAAATGGAGTTTGGAGCGTTTCTTTCTTATTTGTGTTAACACAAAACTGAACTTTTTTAAACAGGGTTTTAAATGTGGTATGAAAAAGATTTTTAAAAATGGAATAAATAAAGACAATGGGGCGGCAGGGTGGTGTGGTGGTCAGCACCATCACCTCAGAGCGATAGGTGCTGGGTTCGAGTCCCAGGGACAACCAGGACCTTTCGGGGTGGAGTTTGTTCTCTCCGGGTTCTCCAGCTTCCTCCCACAGTCCGAAACCTGCACGTTAGCTTGATTGGACATTCCAAATTGTCCTTAGGAGTGAGAGTGAGTGGTTGTTGGTCCTTGTGTGTCTCTGTGTGGCCCTGTGATGGACTGGGAACCGTCCAGGGTGACCCTGCCTCTTGCCCATTGACTACTGCGATAGGCTTCCCATTTGGGAATATGCAGTTACGATAATGGATGGATGGGATTACAGTGATCAGATGTTTGTGTCCAGTGCTGACAGCCGGAGGAAACTGGACTTCTGAGAACGGGAAAATCTCAGGATTTCTGTTTAGCTTCTGAAGCGCGTAGAAAGGAGAGGCTCCCGGGGATTTATCGGCCTCAGCATCAACCAGAAGGCCAGAGATGATGTGTGTCTGTGGGGGCTGGTAATGCGTGAATCGATGCTCTGCTTATTCTCACCTTGAGTCGCTCGTCCGAAAACAACCTTGAGTGCCGCGTCTCAAAGTGAGGACGGGCTATTTTGGTCACTCTGATTTCCTTTGAAAGGACGCCGTGTGTTTAATGACTCTGAGTCAAACCCGGGAGGATTTATAAGTGTCCCAAAGGGTGAGACGGTTGATTTTCCTTTTATTTTTTTACTTATTTGTTATTAAATGTTTTCTCCTCCCTACAAAAAAACAAAAAAACAAACTTTGCTGTCAGGTACATCCCCCCGGTTCAGATCATGTTCACCCAAAACAAAACCTACTAAAAATACAGCCACTCAAATTAGGTTAGTGGAAACACTCTGTCTGAGACGGCTTCCAGGAATTTATCTTCCAGCCAGGAAAATGAGATCTTTAACAAACAGAGACGCTATTTAATTAAAGGGACGGCATGTTGTTTTTCTTATCTTAACTAAGTGGTTCTTGAATTTCTTACTTCTAACAAAACTTGCTGTCACTTTTAGGCATTTTGTTTCTTTTTGGACCAAAAGGGGAGTGTAGGATAATAAAGACCCAGCAAAAGAAACATGAACTGAAACGAGGTGAAGGATCATGAAGGTGTGTGTTGGCTTGGTTCAAAGTTCAACGCCAGTTATTGGAAAGCCGGTTTTGCTTCGGCCGCTTCGGTTTGACTGATGAAATGAGTCGAATCGGCAACTTTTTCAAAATGTTTTCGATTTGGGAGGAAAATCCAACCAATCACAGCTCAGAGAAAATGAAAAACGACTCCAATAGACACAAAAACTAAAGTTTATCGTGAATATCTCTATGAGTTTTATTACAAACGAATTCACCCACTCTTCTAATCTTTTGGATTCACTGTTTTGATGCTGTAATCTGTGACTTTGCGCTTCCTTTGATGTGTTTACTGGTGGAAATGGTTCCATGTCTCTGATTTTCCTCTTCCTTTCTCCTCTCTGTATCATTCCTGCAGGGCCGCCAGTAAACGTAACCTGCAACATTTTTATCAACAGTTTTGGGTCCATCGCTGAAACAACAATGGTAAGTTTGATCATTCTCACAGTTCGGCCCAAAGTGGAGATTTTCTGCTGTTTCCGTTTGTTACTGGTTAGGCTCCGAGGTCTTTAGACTGAAAACAACTGCAGTCAGAGTCAAAAGGTCCTGAGTGACGACAGATTAAGGGCATGAATGTCCTTGAATAAGAACAAAATATGAGACAAACTGCGATATTACCCTAAAATACAATTTAGAGGACAAAAACAGATAATTAAATGTTTCTTAAATGCATTTACTTCACACCTTTTTGTCCTCTCAGGCCTGTTTTGGATGCTTCTAAAGCAAAAAGAGTATAAATTGATCATCAAGTCTTTCAGTTTCTCTTTTTAGTGAAGCGACATTTTGTTCTTAAAATCAATAGAATTAGATTTCACTGACTGATTCAAATCGATGTGTTTGTGTAATTGGAACTTTGAGACTTTTAGCAGATGTTTGAAACAGATATTTCATGGAAAACTCTGGTTTATAGTTTAGATTGAATTCATTATAACTGCATTCGAATAACTAAAGCCTCTTAGATTTTGGCTTAGATTTTAGATTTTTCTGGCGGTTTGGGGTCTTGAACTTTCGGTGAACACTCCTGACCGTGTCAATATCTCCACCATTTTGTTTTTTTGTTTTTTTTCATTGTGCTTACATCACTGCATGGCACAGTAAGTTTGTAGTTACAGTCTGAAATGTGACTTTTAAAAGATCAAACAAGGCTAATATTAGCTTTAGCCAAGAGTCGGAACACAATGTGGTCTGAGGTGAAAATGAAGTACTGTATCTCAAAGGCATTGTTTTCCTTAGAAATCCTTTAAAAACAACACTTTTTCCTCAGCTCCAGCTAAGTGAAATCTGTGGAAAATTATTTGAATGCCCGCAATCATTTTGGGAAAAAGGTTCAAGTGAAAGAAAGCAGGAGTCACACAAGCAGTTGAAACTGTTTCAACCATCTGTATCTTCTTCAGACAGTTATAAGGAGGAGATATTTTTGTAATCCTGCAGAAAGACACAAAATAATCCCCCAAAAATTCCTTTGACCCGGCAGAATGTGTCTCCATCCAATAATAGTATGCTAGAGTCCTCAGCCACCAGGAAGGAGAAGCCAAATCACATAAAACTCAAGAGAAAGGAGTATTGACACAGGATAAACACAGCCTGACCTTGCGGCTGTGGTTTGTGTGCAGTCCTTATCAACAGCGAGGAAGAATGAATGACTTTGTTAAAGACAGGAAGCGTCCAGTGGTGCTTCTAAATGTTTGGTAAAACGACTGCAAAGCAATCGGGGGTCTGGGGGGGGGGGGTTGGAAATTCCCTGGCGGTGGAGCGTGTGGCTGGCTGGCCCTCGCATTCAGCCCCGGAAAAACACAATTAGTGGAAATGATTTCTGTGCTGATATTTATGCAAATTTGCCTCCATTTTTTTTTTTTTTAAACTCGATTAAAAAAGGAGAGAGTAGTCTTCTGAAACGACTCTGCCTCATTGGGCCCCGGCGTCCATTTGCATCTCTGCGGCGCTGGTGTGGAAATTTACACTCGTTCATTACACAGAAAAGCCATTAGCGTGCGATAGAACGAAACCGCCAGCCCTGGCGGAGCAACACGGCCCGGGGCAGATGGGGCCGTGCTCAACCTTCGCATGCGTGCGTCTGACAGTAGCAAACACCGGGGCGTCGACCAGCTCCGGAAGTGTCCCCAAAAACAAGACTTTTCCCCTTTTAGCTTCAAAAGTCCCCAAAAACGAGACTTTTCCCCTTTTAGCTTAAAAAAATAGGCTGCAAATTCTCCCCCAGAGGAGTTCAGAGGTGTGAACCATTCGCAGGTCACAGTGTCACAATGTCCCAATGCACAAAATCTAATGAAAGGTTAAAGTTAGGGGGGGTAGCACGGTGATGTGGTGGTTAGCACCATCGCCTCACAGCCAGAAGGTCCTGGGTTCAAATCCCAGGGGAACCCTTTAAGGGTGTGACTGTGGGTGGTTGTTTGTCCTTGTGTGGCCCTAAAATGGACTGGGGGGCCGTCCAGGGTGTACCCCGCATATCATCTTGCCCATAGGTTCCAGTCCCCCCCCCCCCCCCCCCCGGCAGGAGTCCTTTCAGTATATGTGAGGGCTCCTCTTCAGTCTCAGTCCATTTGTTTCGTTAATTTTAAGAGTAAAAAATGTTGACCGACATAATTCGTGCTCGCTCTCATTAACACTCAGCTCTCGAGCAGCAGATGTTTTGCACTGCGTGTCTCTTCCTGTGACTTTGGCATCACAGCCAAGAGCCCAGCGCCAAAAACAGGGTCTGTCCCAAAAATCAGCTCGCTGTCCGGAAAATGCCCTCGTTCCCGAGGCGATTCGCCCAAACGGGCGCTCTGGAAGACAGACGCAGGCCGGTGATGGATGGGGGGGGCAGAGCGGTGCACGGCTTCATTCCACTTTCAGAGCGCACACACACAAAGAAAGAGGCAAAACGACACCTCTGCTCGTCCTGAGTTGATTGAACTAAACATAAAGGCCGATAGGAAATAGTGGAAAAGTCAAACTCGTCCAAAAATTAAGACTCAAAACTGGCAGCGATTCTTTTCTTTAAAGTGTTGTTTTTGGCTGCTAATTTTGATGATAATAATTCTCCATGTGCAGTGTGTGTGTGTAAAGAGGGCGAGCCAAACAGTTTTGTTCAGAAACTAAAGAAAAAAAAGGGATGTCTGGACACCCCAGTATTAGGACGGCGGCCATTTTGAAAGCCGCCATATTGGATCAGGGGCGAGTTTCTCCGATGGGAAAGGGGCCATGTAGCGTATCAAACCAGAGGCGAATTGTCTCAGAAGCTGATTGCTGCTATCAGATTTAAAAGATCTCTTTTGGTTTCAATGCTATCAAACAGAAAGTTGCCGAAGCAGCTGAAAACTTGGCAGCTGCTTGAGATGTTCAGTCGATGGTGCTGAACGCAGATCCAGTCGTTATTGGATTCTCATGCAGGTTCATTACAATTGGATCAGCTCTGTGACAGCTAGGATGGGTTACCATAAATAAACCTCACAGCAAATGGATGGATGGATTATTTTCCCCTTTGCAAAGCACCTTTGGTCCTCTCAGGTCTGATTGGCTGCTTATAAGGCAAAAAGTATAAAATGATGACCACATTTTTTCGGTTCAACGATTTTACAGAAACTGCTCCCAACACAATAACTTAGATTTTACACTTATCTCTGTAATATCTGGTGTAACAGACCTATTTACTGAAAACTACAGCTCATTTTTGTATAAAAATAAATAGATAAAAAAGCAGACAATCTGAATAATTCTCTCTCCTGTTAGAGAGGTAGATGGGACATAAAATAATTCATATCTCAGGTCTTTGAAAAGATTAACTAATCAAATTATAAATGAATAATTTCCTTTATGATGATTGGTGTTTTGCTAATAGTGTCAAACATCACGCAAAATGCTGTAGATGTGCACAGAAGACACACAAAAGGCTTCCAAAGAGAAGAAAAAAACTTAAAGCAGCATATTCTAATAAAAGGAGGACATAAAGAACGAGGGAGCTGCACTGACGTGGTCTTTGCAGTCGTCAGAGAAAAAAAAGAAGAATGAGAGTGCATGTGCTCCGTCTTTAGGCCACGCTCGGGTTAGTTTCAAGGCCCAGCTGGGATTTATTCCTCTTCTGGGAACAGCGACAACATGTGTGTGTGTGACGGCTGAGAATGTAATCATCCTTATTTTTGAGCAGCTCCATCAAGCCGTTTCTACTCAGCTTTTGCCCTTTCCAGGCTCCTACCCCCCCCCTCTCCCCCCCCCCCCCCTCCCCCCCCCCCTCTTCCCCCCCCCAGACTCCTCACATCTGCACCCTTTCAGGTTATTCATCACACAATCTCAGGCATGGGGAAAGGTGGCCCATTCAGAAAAGGCCAGGCTCATTTGTTTCATGTGAGATATTTACAGTAATAAACAGTGATAAACAGAAGGGTGGGTGGGGATGGGGGTGGGGTAGGGGGGGTCGGGCACACACTTACCGATCGCTCCTTTAAATGCCACCTGCTGAGGCTGCTGGCATGGCTGCTGTCAGCCCGGCTTTTTCTGCTTTTTCTGCTACGCCACACAGCCTAACGACGGCCTCGGCACAGCTCCATGTTGGGAGAATAATGGACAATTAGGGAGATGGAGGGCCCAGCTAAATGCCAGCGCCTCACTAAAGAGACTCCGCCCCCCCCCCCCCCCCCCCTCCTGGCAGTGGATGCGGGGGAACCGGGAAGGCTGCAGCTGGATCCATCCGTTTGTGGGTTCTGGGCTTTGTACGCCTCGAGTTTGTCGTGTTTTGTTTATTTAGGCCGTGTATCTTGACTTGGGTTAGCGGTTTTTAGCTGTTTTTCCTTGTTATCAGCATTTGCATCCTGGTTGTCAGGGCCTCCTTTCATCCAGTAATCAGCCCCTCTTGTGTCTAACCTGTCATCAATGTGTCCTGGCTCCTGATTTGTTGTTCTCATAATGATTTGTTTTTTAATCTTAACAAGCAAAAATGAAGTAAAAATGACCTCACATTTATTACATTAGTAATGAATGTAATAATCATTACATTTCAGACATATTCCAAATTTCAGACTAAGACGATTAGAAGAAAAGTCTTTTTTTTTTTAACCCGGCCCGTCACCAGGGGCAGTTTTTTAATTAAATGTCCCTGTTAACAGTCTGAACTTTTCTCCATTTTTTTTATTTTATTTTATTTATTTATTTATTTGAATAGGGACAAAGCACATTAATGAACATCAGTCAAAAACAAATGTAAATATGCCGGATTATAGCTACAAAGCTAGTTTTCATCCGTAGTCCCTAGGCATGCAAATTCATAAAAAAGAACATATAATAAGCAATATAAGCATCACAAGTAAATGTTTAGATTTTAGTAGTCACATGACTGGTTTGCTTTCATCCAAAATTTTAGTTGAGCTCTAAAGCTGATCATTCTATGCTCCTTGATTGTATCTTTTGAAAGTGGGTGGTCTTAATATAAAGGCCATGATTGGTTGACACGCCCCCACCAGGAGCCAATAGGGATCATGGTCCAATTCTGTCTGTGATCCAGGTGTGAGAGTGTGTGAGTGTCAAGGCATCAACCTTCCCAGCTCTATTATTATCGCCACATCATTATTATTCTACCCACATTTGACCTATAACCCAGGAGGGTCCAGCCGTCCTGCAGGTTTTTGGTCATTTTCCTGCTTTTGCACACCCGACTGACCAAATGGGATCTCTTCCACACGCTGTTAAGCTCTGCTCAGCCCATTGATGTGAATACGGTGTGTTGATTCCAGCAGACTTCTTAAAGAGGAGAGTTTGGGCCGCCGTCCTGCAGGTTTTTTAAGTTTCCCTGCTTCTGCACACCCGATTCACACCAACACAACATCAGCCGTCCCGTTCAGAGCTCAACGTGAGGTCATTATTTATCTGAATCGGGTGTGCAGAAGCAGGGGAACCTCCAAAACCAGCAACCCAAAGAGGAGCATTTGGAGTTTGGAGGGTCTGGGGCTCATTTTACCTCCAGAGACCAGGTTCATGTCACCTGACCTCTTCTTTTCCTTGTTAGCATTGACACATTTGAAGCTGATTGTGATTATATTTAGTTCCATCCGCCTAACCAACAGTCTATTCAATGAAAAGAACAGGTTTTAGCCACGTTTTGAGTAACTTTGGGCGATCTAAACACGTAAAATGAACGTTCACATTAGTATTTTACCTCCAGGCTCACAGATGGGATCACTTCCTGTTCAAAAAGGGCTCCTCGTGTGTGTGTGTGTGTGTCAGGGGCTGCCGTCCAGTCAGTGTTTTCCTGTGGGAGTCAGCATGCAGAAGCAGGGATGATGGACAGGATAAGCTGAGGCCATCGGAAACATCCATCCATCCATTTGCCACACCGGCTTATTCCAATTAGGCTCGCTGGTTTTTTTCAGCCTCGAAAACAACCCTCAGAAATGTCAACTCAGCTCCAGTGTTTTGCTTCTTTATTGCACTAGAATACACCAATTTTTTCATAAAACATAAAAAAAGGACGAGAAGGAGCCCTTTGTTGAGAATTTGTTTTGGGTTTAACCAGGATTTGTTTAGGACTTATTATTCGGGATATTATAATTTAATATCGGGTAACTATTTTAGTTACGGTTAGTTCATAAATCTAGTTAGCATTTTATAGTTAGTATCTGGTTCAAAACTGACTATTTGTGGTCCTTTAACAGAATGGACTCAATATCCCATGATGCTTTGCACAAGGTCAGGAGGAACTGGAGGTGAGACGAAGAGGTAGAATTGAGGAGTTTAACGAGAAAAAGAGCTACGTTAGCCGAGCATCCACACTCTGTCGTGTATTGTAATATACGATTCGTTCATCCCTTTTTTTTAAATTTTCACTAAAGTTCAGTAGAATTATCCATCCGACTCCTTTTCGTCTTTGAATCAGTCGAATATACGACACCCTTTGCTCGTTGATAAGTTATCAACAGCGACCGGGAAGCTGGTTAGCATCTCCGAGGCTGTGAGTTTGACACGTTTTTAGGATTAAAACTTTATCAGTCGCTCATCTACCGACTCTATCTGGCCGTGAAGCCTCTGTTTGTGTTGCTGCCTTTTTTACTGGAGAAAAACAGACAACTCACCCCCCCCTTCTTCCTGCCGTCGTCCGATGGGCGAACGACAAAAACTCTGGATGGAAGCGGTGGGGCTGGAGGCTGCGGGTCGCCACGATCGGCGAGATGTTTTGAGCTCGCGTAAAGCAGAAAATGACATGAGGATGAAGACCCATAACCAGCCGCTCACCCAGCCGTGAGAGCCCGTCCATCACCGGCCAGGATCCGTCCATCTGCCCGTCTGCAGGGAGATACAGCGTGTCCAGTCAGCCGGGCGCTGACCCACGACGGGCCCGTTTTTTTTCCCGTTTCCTTCCCCACAACTTTGCTTTCCCCGTCTAAAAACACACTCTGTGGACGCCTCTTGCCTCCGCCTTTTCAGGGATTTTCTCATGGCAATATAGAGATTCGTTTAAAAATTGTGAAATTAATCTTTCAAACACTTAATTAAACTCTATACATATTATTATGTTAAAATAGTGTATGTTAAATAGGTTTGTACAATAAGTCCAAACAAGTTTAACCAAAAAATATTTATTTCTCACAATTATGAAGGGTGGAGGGTTAGGGTTAGGGTTAGGGTTTGGGTTAGGGTCAGGGTCAGGGTTAGGGTTAGGGTTATTAATGCAGGCCACTAGTCACGATAAGATTAGTAATAGTAAGTCAGTTTGAAATGAAAGACACTAACCAGTCAAAATTCATTTAATATTTGGGGTCTTTTTTTAATCCTTGTGGTATCGAAAATGGTATCGAGTATCGAGTATTTTCCTGAGTATCGGTATCGAGTTGAACATTTTAGTATCGTGACAACCCTAACGGGGTGGGATTTTTCTGCCCAACGCAGAGATTCGAAACCCTAAAAATATCCAGATAAACGGCCTCTTTATGGCTTCATATCGAACTCACCTGACTGTTTTTACAGCTTGCAGCTTTTACATTTGAACGAACAGAGGCAGATTCCCATTAGGGAATCGCGCTCTTAAATGTCTGGTTTTCCAACACCAGGCGAAACTTTGTGAGTAATTATTTTTAATTAGTTTTGAAGGAAAAGAACGGACCCTCCATCCAGAAACAAAAAGTCATCATGTGTTAGGCGGAGGTTGTATTCTAAGTGAGGCAATTATGTGGGCCTAATTAAACTATTTGTTTTTAATGCCTAAAAAACGTTAATGGGAAAGGTCAGTGTATTTGTTCTTCAGTAGCACTTTTCTCTTCATCTCACTTTATTTTTGATAACTTTTAACCACTCATAACATTCATTAATTGATCCAAAACCAACAGATCAGATTTTTATGAAATGCACAGAATCGTTTTCGTGTCCTTTCAGCCACTCAGTTCCATTTAAAATGGATTTTTGAGGGAAAGTATTTGTTCAAAGTTAATTGTAGGATATAGACGCATGGAACTGAATAAACAGGGTTTATTTTTGTCTCTTTTTTTAAATTACAAACTGTTCCTTTTAATGGTGTCTGAGTTGGATAAATCCATGTTGGGTTTCTGTGCTTGTCGATACTAGAACAAACACCTCAGATTCAGATTGTTTGTCTTTCTTCTGCCACACACTAAGCTATAATTTCTCCTATTTCCAGAAGTAGAGGTCATTTTGGATCAAATGACTCAGTTCTGAGTTTAAAAAAAGTCAGAAATCCTAAAGATGTGTTGCAGTGAAAGTCAAAACCATTGAAGGTACACGAGAATCCATTTGTGTTCTGAAAGCCATTCATAAAACAATAAACCTATGAGGAACGCTGACATTTATCTGATCTATAAAGGATGCAGAGGGACACAATTCCTGACAATGACGGGAATTCTGTGAAAGTTCAGCTTCAAAATGAGGAGAGAAAAAAAGATTTGGGCTCAGAAAGGATCCACAGAGCTCACAGGGGTTCACTCTGGACGTCTGGGATCTCAAAGTCTCCATTTTAGGACCAGAGCTTTATTAAAAGCATCCAGAATTGAACAGATGTGCTGTTATTTAGTGATAAGGGGTGGACTTTGGTTGGCTAGCGTAAAAGTATTCAGCCTCGTAGAGAAACTCTGGTCATATTTCTCCGCTTGTCATAAGGCTGGATGGGCAAAGTGGAGGTAAACACACAACCAAAGCAAAAGGAAAGTCCTCACCAATGGTCAGACTGGAGAAGAACTGGCAATACTCTGGCTTCAGACTCATCTCCGGGCTGGTCGCATAAACCTTTTCGTCCCTTTCCTGCACTGTAGACCAAATGCAGTTGTTTCTGTGTTTGCAAACACAATTCATGTAGTAATGAAAGTTTGATAAATGCCTACAAGCCTGCAGCAGATCCGGCTCTCAGCAGAAGAACGCCCTCGTTTCAAAAATCACAGATGACGTTGGACTGAACACACTAAATATAGTTTTCTACGTTCTATTTCGGTGGAACATCTACCCCAGAGACACATGTGCCTTTAAGTCATGTTTTAAAAGCTTAATAGGAATGTGAGCATGTGCATTATAGGAGGCTCAGAGGGTTTGTTTGCATTATTTGGGCACTATTGTTCCAACGTATCTTAGAGAGAGTTGATTTTTAGTTTTTTTAGATGAAACACGAGGACAGCCACATTTTCAGCGGTCCTTCATTTTCAGCCCAGATGCCCCCCGGCTCTCCTGTAGACCCCCCCCCCAACACTTCCCTCTGCTTGTGCTCCCGCTTGTAGGACTACAGAGTGAACATCTTCCTGCGGCAGCAGTGGAACGACCCCCGGCTGGCCTACAGCGAGTACCCCGACGACTCGCTGGACCTGGACCCCTCCATGTTGGACTCCATCTGGAAGCCCGACTTGTTCTTCGCCAACGAGAAGGGGGCCAACTTCCACGAGGTCACCACGGACAACAAGCTGCTGCGCATCTCCAAAAACGGCAACGTGCTGTACAGCATACGGTGAGCGGGGGGGGGGGGGACCTGGTCGTTAAACTGATTACTGCGGCATGGGTGGTGGATCTTAAAGGTGTCACTTCATTTGGTTTGTGACTCTTGGACAGGAGCTTTTTAGTGAAGTGATAATATTTGAGTCCTTTGTTTTATGGGTGGAGTCAGAGACTATAGCCAGCTTTATGTGGTCTTGAATTTTGACAATACAGGAGCACAGCCAGCTTTAATGGGGGCCTTTATTTCATGCATTAAGTTATCGAACGGACTGAAAACCATAAACGCCCCCGCAGGCCTCAGCCAGCGTTTTCTTCTTGTTAAGTTTGAAGTTTTTTATGGGAAATAAATTCACACACTTTTGAGTTTTTATTGAACCAATCCAAAGGGTGAGTCAAGATTCAGAGGATTCTGTTTTTATCTCTGGAACAAAAGGGACAATGACATGTAATGGGTGATAAATCTTTCAGGCTATGTCCAGAACATGGCGGCCATTTTGAAAGCCGCCATATTGGATCAAGGAGAAGTTTTTACAATGGGAAGATGGTCATGTGACATATCAAAGAAGACTAGAATTCTACCAGAAATGTGTTGCCACAATCGGATTTGCTAAATATCTTTTGGTTCAAAAGTTATCAACACAGAAAGCAGCAACAACAACTGTGAATGTTTGCTGTGATAAAGCTGATTGAGGTAATCCATATTAGGCACCACCACACAGAATGAAACTTTTTTGGCCCTTTTGAACATAAAGTGATCCCATCTGTTAAATTTGATGGTTTGGCTATCATTTAACATATTTGGACACCCAAAACTCTCACAGTAGGATGTGTTCGAATCCCAGCCAGTACTTTTTATGTGGAGTTTTTATGTTTATGTATGGTTTCTCTCTGGGTCCAAAAGCATGCATGCTAGGTTAGAGTCTGGATTTCCCTTGGAGGTGAGTGCATGGTGTGGGGTGTAACAGAAAATGGATGGATTTTATACTGTTTCTCACAAAGACTCTAAACTGGGTCGATTTTCTCTGCATGCGGATTTCACAGAGACTCCGGACAGCACAGATCTCTGTAGGGCATCCAAATGTAACACGGTTACGTGCTACCTTTAGATTTCTGGTCATGGGTCTCAGAAGTCGTTGGAGACGTTTATATTTCCTCTTTTAATCTCAAATATCTGAAAAAAGCAGACAGTCCATTTTACTAATGGGATAAATATGGACCGTGATCGTTTAGAGGGGATTGACTGAAAATGAGTTCTACCTCAGGATTGATGAGGTTCCAGTGAGACGCACTTAACCCGCTGTGACGGGCTCTCAGAGTATTGCACTCCGCCGAGCGCCATACCCTACTTTAGCTCTCTTATTGCATCAAAGTTGTGAGGCTTTATTTCTTTTTTCCCCTTTAGTATCTCCAAGACATCCTATTGGAGGCTCTCAGAGTTATAGCCTCCTCCGGCCGACAAACCTTTTAGCCTGCCAGCGCTTCCTTCTCCTTGCTTTTATTGCATCTGCTCAGGGGCGGATGAAAAAGGGGAGCAACAGCCTCTGTAATCTGCCGGCCTGTTGGTATTCCGGCCCCGACTCTGATCTGTTATCGGCCTCGGTTTGTACCTTTTCCGTCCAGCAGGACGGGGAGTGAGATTGGCCTTTTATAAATGCCGCCGGAGCTCCTCCTCTGCTCCTTTCATTTTTTTAACTTGACAACATCAGAATGAACCCGCGGTTTATCAGCTCCATCTCAGAGGCGACGAGGCGGCTCGGGATATTAAATTGTCCCTGGGGTGGGGTGGGGGGGGTGGGGGGGGTTGGAGGAGAGAAGGGGCCGTTGTAAATGTTGTTTACCCTGTTCTTTATGTTTATCGCTCAACAGTTGAACTGTGTGAGGAGTTGTGACAGATGGGGGCTTCTCCTCTAGGATCTAAGTGAACTTTGAGATCCGATGATCAGATTCACTGAGCAATCTCCTGCTGCTGCTCAGACACAAGCACGCCGCGCGCCCTGAGCGGATGCGGCGTCCTGTTTGTAAAACAGGACACTTACAGACCGACCGGCCTCATGAACGGTTCGACGCTGGCCGAAATAGCAAAAGCCTGACTCCATCTTTTCTCCAGCTAAGGACGCTGCTGATGGCCCACGCTGTGCACGAGCCCACGCTGTGCACGAGTTCTTTGTCCCGCTCCCGCCGACCGGCCTCGGCCAATCTCACTCACGCTGGGAGAGAATAATGTCCATCCGCAGATTTTTATTGACCTCATTTCCCTCCCTATCAGCGGCCTTCCAGCTTAACTTGTACGAAAACCGATATTCCCCGAGACAAAATCGCCACAGCGGCAGAGAGCACGGTTATTTTCCAGTTTAAATAATTCCCTATTCACCGGCCACCCCTGTCCTCCTTCTGCTGACTCTGCTTCCATGTCCTCCCCGTAGATAACCGACACTCAGTGGACAGCTCATGACCAGTATCTCCGAGCTGGAAATGTGTAGATAGTCCAAAACGTGAACCACTGAGCTTTCTCTGCCATAAAGAAGCCTGGAAGAGGACCCAGAACAACTGGGAAGCACAGGGAGTTTAATAAAAAACGTATATTAAGGCCAGAGAAACACAAATTAATGACAACAATGATGTCCATGGTGCTCTGGATCCAACAGGAAGAGAAACTGCAGCTTTTTAGATCAGCTGGATGCTTTAACAGAGTTTCTGGGTCAGAACAATAATAAAGAACCCCAGCAGAACAATCCTGAAGGAGAACATGATGGAGCCACTGCCAGGCTGTGTTAAATCTCTCTGCTAAACCGAGGCCGTTTAGATGAGAGGTGAAGCGTCAACACCACAGAAAAAGTCCAGCTGCCTTCATTCAGACTTTTTAGAAGTATCTGTCGCACCATTTTTGAGTTTCTGGTATTTTCAGTGGTCATTCTTTTGAAATCGGGATCCTGTTCTTTATTCTACAGTTCCCTCAATTCTCTCCTGTTCTGGCCAGCAGCTCCCAGATTTTTTTTCTCTTAAGTTTCAGCTTTATCTTTTGTTTCGTTTCGCTGTGATTCATGTAAGAAGTGGACCTCTATTTCTCATCTGAATCTGGATAATTCATCTGAATAATTCCCACCGAAATGAGAAAACTGAGGTTTTTTTTGCTCCTAAAAGGGAAGCTGGAGAGATGAGTACTTTTGTTTCTATGTACAATCTGTAATGGTGGAAAAGATGGGCCGTCCACCCTAGAATGTAAAAGGACGGTTCCAAAAACAGCTGCATTTAAAAAAAGTCCCTCTCTTCGTCAAGCTGCGGGAGGAAAAGAAGCTACGAGACACTGTCAGCAAATCACCCAGCGGAACTTGTTTCAGAGAAAGTGGGACATCTGTGTGGGCTGCGTCACGCGCGGGAAACATATTCAGCATCCTGTCAGGGAGCTGTTACGATGTGCCGACGCGGCAAAGTTTCTGTGGTCCATCAGGCTGGCCGGACCTGTTGGAGGAGGGAAAACCAACGCCGGCCCATCGTGACAACCCGCCAACAGCCAGAGCCAGGAGAGGAACGTTATGATCGCAACACCAAGGAGAACTTGTAAAGAATGTCTTTTAGGTTTATTACCTCGTAGATGGGCAACAAGCATCCTGATCGCTAGCAATTACAGCGCCAAGCAGTTGGAAACATTAGAGATCAGTCTGCTTTGTTGGGGTTTATTTCAAATTTCTGTCATGGTTGCACAAAAACAACATTAACAATAGGGTTAAGGCTAGGGGTTATGGTTAAGGTTAGGGTTATGCTTGATCAAATAAATAATGTTTTTAAATGGGCCATCCTGCTATGAGTTCATAAATGACATCGAATCACAATTCAAGTGTATTCAGATTCATTTGGATTTCTAGCCATAATCCTTTCAAACATTACTCTGATCTCATGAATATGTAACAATGTAACTACACAGGGTGAGTCCAAATCCTGAGGACTTTAAAAGAATTACCAACACCAAAAATTGTAACAGCAACAGGGAGCGTTGGCTGGCATGCAGCCTTTTGAAGCGTTCAGCACCAGGGACAGCTCCTTAAAGATGTCCAACAGCAACTCTCTGTGTTTATATCTTTTGAACCATAAGAAATGTTGCAAATCTGATGGTAGCAATTGAATTCCGAGGCAATTCTGCTCCTCTTTGATATGCTATATGACCACCCACCCATTGGAAAAACCTGACCTTGATCCAATATGGCGGCTTTCGAGCTAGCCGCCATGTTCCAGACATATCCTAAAAGACGCATTACTTGCTGGGGTATTCAAATAGTAATTTTCCCTGTCACAGCTCTTGTTTGATCAACGGATGAGAAGATATAACTAATTTAAAAAAATGTATTTAGTTTAAAATTGAGTGATTGTTTATGCTTAGATTTGGTGGTTTTGCGCTGTAAACCCAGGAGGACTGGAAACGATCCTCATGGTGTCAGTAATGCTAAGCTTGTGTGTTTCCACATGTTTTCAGAATAACACTGATCTTGGCTTGTCCTATGGATCTGAAAAACTTCCCAATGGACGTCCAGACCTGCATCATGCAGCTGGAGAGCTGTGAGTATTCATCCATACGTCAACACACATGCTAGCACACGACGCACAAACTGAGGGATGCATCAGTCGCACACAGCAGCTGCCATGTCCAGCTCTGGTACACATCTCTCTGGGGCCTTT